GTGCAAACTTAGCTACTAGATTAAATTATCATTAAAATCATATTAAAAACTAGCATGGATTGTAACTTATAAAGTTAATCTTTAACAGAAAGTAAATGGACACATTCATATAAGATTTTTAACTTTTGAAATTCTAAATCTAAGCAAATAATGTAAAGCAATGTGAAGTTATTTTGGTTTCAGTCACCATTTTGGCATCCACAGTCTCTAAAGGCCATGACCTAGATCTAAACAAATGCACAGATCCCATGACTCCTTATATGGTATACGGCACGGCTTTTTTGACACGGGTTTCCAAAAAACCGTGTCTCCATATATGGAAAAGGACACGGGTTTCAGACACGGGTTTACAGAATCCGTGAGTCCATATATGGAAACTAGCACGGCTTTCTGAAACGGGTTTTGTAAAACCGTGAGATCTCATTTAAATATTTCGGCCAATATCCCGTGCCGTGTCCGTGCCTCGACCACTTTAAGGCACGGCTTTCAATACATACTTTACATAGGAGCACGGAATGCTAAAGCACAGCTTTTTGGAGACGGAATCCGTGCCTAAGCCGTGTCTAAGCCGCCCGGACTGTTTCGTACGGGCACTTCTATATTATTTAGTTGAATTTATTTTTGATGAAGCCATGCAAACAATGTAAAATTATAAAGGAAAAAAATCAAGAAATACAGTGATGTGCCATAAGTGTTCGTCCAAATTCAATTTTCATTACGTCACTTTACATTTTCACATAACTTCGTCGACGCTGTATCTTTTAACCATGGCGTCAATGTTGAATAAATAAGTATATATTTATAGCATATCCACGTGACTGTCACGTGTCACAATTACGTAGCAAAATTATTTTCGTCTGCTGTGTATTTCCCCTGTAAACAAAATGGCTACCGTGCGTAAAGAATTGAGTACTGATGTTAAAGAAGTCATCGTTTCTCTTTACCTGTCTGGATTAAAACATTCAGAAATAGCAAGGAGATTACAAATTCCCCGGTCTACAATAACTTCTGTAGTTGACCGGTATCGCAAGCGAGGAAGTGTAGAAAACATACCGAGGAAAGGGAAGCAGGCAAAGCTAAGTGACAGAGACAGTCGCAGCATTTTAAGGTTGGTGAAAGAAAACAGAAAGAGAAAATTATCAGACATAACAGCCTTATTCAATGAAAATAGAGACTCTGCTATATCTAAACGGACAGTTCAGCGAAATTTGTACAAACAGGGGTATTTTAGAAGAGTTGTTCGAAAGCGCATAAGAATTCGCGAAGTGAACAGAAAAGCACGGCTCTCCTGGTGTAGAGGAAACAGATACAAAACTATAGATAATTATTGGAACAGGGTCATCTTTAGTGATGAGTGCAAAGTGGACGTTGGGACTGATAACCGTGTTTTTATATGGAGAAAGGTGGGCGAAGAGTGGATGCCATGTTGTCTCTCGCAACCTCCAACACCGAAGTTTAGTTTAATAATATGGGGCTGTATCACTTTCAACGGTGTAAGGACTGTGACTGTTGAAGACAGTAACATTAATGCTTGAAAATACATTTATATAATTGAAGATCAACTTTGGCCAGTCATAGCACGCCATTTTCCTCGAAATAACTATATATTTCAAGATGACAACGCCCCTATTCACAGAGCCCAAGTAGTTCAAGAATATAAATTACAGAATAATATTCATTCAATGGTTTGGCCCGCTCAGAGTCCTGATTTGAACATTATTGAAAATATCTGGTTGAGACTGAAAAGAGAACTGAAAAACGGCAACGAAATATTCTTGTGTAAAAATCAGCTGGAGGCAGCCATTCGACGTATCTGGATAAACATCCCAATTTATTATGTTCAGGGCTTATACAGGTCGATCCCAAGACGAATACAGAAAGTTCTGAGGTCAAAAGGCTATATAACAAAGTATTAAGGTAAGAAAAAATATTTTATAATTTTATTTCTGTGTTTTATTTTTCCGAAGCGTCTCGTTACTACGGCGGCCATTTTGAATTTGGACGAACACTTATGGCACATCACTGTATTTTGTCATAAAGGAGTCATTAACAGATGTACACTTTGATTTTTTATTGCAAGTATTTCTTTTTACCTTTAATATTGTGATGATGCAATCGTCTGTCACAATCAGCTTGTGGATCAATCGCCAGTCTTATCAGCTTTGGGCTTCTTGGACTTAATAAAAAAAGCAGCACGGTGACACTGAACTCAAGTGGTTGAATGCATCTATAGGCCATAAAAACAAACATTTGTCATTAAGTTGATAGAAAGAATCGACTTGATAACGATCTCAACATACGAAAACGCCAAACTGCTATATACAAGGTTTCTACTTTCACTTTCAAATCAGTACGTAACAAAAGTCAAAACAAAAAGAAAAACAAAGTAATGCCTTTAGCCTAACATGTAAATTGTAATGTTTACATCCATTCAGAAACAAATTAATCCAAACACTAACGTTATGTAGATCTAGGTTTACGAAATGCATTAATTTAACAATTACAAGTGTTGAGAGTATTACAGAGATGAGTTCATACGAACCTGTAACCGTAATGAAACGATATTTAAACAAATGAATTAAATGTCTTTTAAAAATTGTTAGGACATTAGCCTAGATCTACTTACTTTTTCCAACACCCAGCACTTCTGCTGCAGCAGTGACGTCAAACATGACGTACACTTTCATCCGATAGAAGTCAAAACCGGTCCGGGAAAAATACGGAATTCTTTTTTTACTTTACTCAAGTAATAAACCCTAACCCAAAAGATTTGAAATAAAAAGCAAATTAATTTATTCTTTATCAATTTTGTCTGGGATATGCATTACAGAATTATTGTATGAGTATTACAGAAAAAGAAAATTGTGAAAGGTTTTTTTATAAGGGAAAAAAGGGGGAGGGTTAAACAAACTAGAACTTAACATAAGTTATTGCTAACAAATTCTTTTGAAATTGATGTACATTTAAATTACTATTGAGATATTTTATTGAAATTTTACTTGAGTATACCAAGGGCAAATTAGTGAATACTGTTTCATATGATTCTCATATGATCACTGTTTCATATGATTCTCATATGATCACTGTCGAAATATTCATATGATTTTTCCCTGAGTATAACAAAGGCAAATACGTGAATATGGTTTCATATGATTCTCATATGATCAGTTTCATATGATTCTCATATGGCCACTGCCAAAATATACATATGTAGGGCCTTTCATATGAGAATCATATGTATATTACTTCATATGATTAACATATGTATGATCATATGATTCTCATATGATTGGCCACATATGATTCTCATATGATTGTATATACATATGATTCTCATATGATCCACATATGATCTTCATATGAAAGGCAATGCATATGTGGATCATATGTGGCTAAATTGCCCATATATGGTGATCACCATTGTAAATCAAAGTTTTCAAAGTTATGACTTATATTAAGTAAATCAAAGTGTCAAAGTATTTACTATAATACATATAAATCAAAGTGTCAAAGTGTTCACTTTTAGTAAACTACACTTAACTTTAGTATTTTTATGTTAGTTATATTTCATTTAACCATTTCAACAAGGCAATCCATAGTTTAAAGTGACTAGCTTGAGTATTTCGATCTAATCATCCACTTTGTCCCACAGATGCTCATTAAGAAAAAGATGATGTTCAGTCGACTAGGCAAATGAGATTGCGGGAAAATCCTTACTAACTCTGCCATACTTTGGCGAGGGTAAACACGCCTAAAGATAGGCAAATGACGTACATAGACGCGCGCCCCGGTGATATGAACAATAAACTGGTACCCTGACATTGGTTAACGGGCGCAAGCGCCCTGAAAAACCAACGACAGGTAACCACTGCCATTTTATCGCGTCACAGGAAACAGCATTGATGAAAAAATCTATATTTAGACTAGCGTAAATCCAGAAGTGCTGAAGTACATAAACCCTTCTCTCTGCACTCTACACTGCTGTAAACGAAGAAAGTAGACGGATTTTAAGCATCTAAAATCGTCAAGAAGTGCTGCCTCAAAAGCCATTAAATGTAAAGCGATATGGTACTGGTCCCATATGCATATATTCTACCAAAATAATTCAAATCAAGACCTGGATATTTGGCACTGATATGATAATTCATCTATTGAGTTATAACACTTATTCTCTATCATTATATGTTTAGTTTATGGGGAATGCTATAACTCGTCTCTTTAACTCCATGTGTTACGTTATGCACCAGGAATAGGAGGATTACAATGTTAACACTACGGAATATTTGAAACTTCATTGTGACAATATATTATATATTCAAATTGTCACAATGAAGTTTCAAATGTTCCGTAGTGTATTGTTGTAAATTAATGATATACTCAGTTAATAAGGTCCCTTCTTTATTGTTTGAATAATTTCCCTGTATTAAATTGTTGTATTCATCAAGTAAGATACGATACATTTTGTTTTTTTCCTGTTATTTGAATCTCTGCTGTTATTTGAATCGCTGGATCCACCTAACATTCTTCTCCGCAAGCATTAATGCTATTTATTTTTGGAATGCGCAGTTACTATGCGCGATGCTAGCAGTGAGTTTTTCCACTGTCATGTCGGCAGATGTTACCTGTCCTTGTAATTCCTAGCAGCAGCGACTGCAATCAAGGGCAGAGAACCAGTGCTTTATGAACAACAGCGTAAATTTAATCAGCTTGAAAATATCACAATCGCACAAATGGGTTTCTTTCAGTTTTATTGTGAATGTAAAATAATGATAGCCTATCGTATTAATAGCAATTTTTGGGTAGTTTGGAGTCAAATTAACAGGAGGCAGGATGAATAACCCGATCTTATCATGGTTCTGTTTTGCTTGAAAGTCATCGTCACAGTTTATTGGAAACAATTCTAGGTCCTCTCTGCTAATGGGGAAGACGTACATTCTATGTGGAAAAAATTACAGGAACCTGTACAATAACTAGAAACTATTATTATTATTATTATTTAGGTAATGAAAAAGCAGAGACGTATATAAGTATCGCAAAAATCAAAAATGGACCAATGGGGTACGTATATATACATCAAGTGTTGTGTAAAACATTAATAGCACTACTTACTTTAATCTCCTCTTCTCCTGTGTACGCTTTTGCTTAATCTTTCATCGTTTTAAAAGAAATTTACTACTCTACAAACACAACCATTCATTAAGATTATGTTGCTTTACGATAAGAAACGTTTAGAGATTCTATATGCAATTAGCATGACAAAAGGTGTGACGTTTTAATCATTGTATTAAGAACAAATAGTTATCATTATTGCGTGGGTATATGTAGAATCCCACGGATGAGCGGCTCCTTTTAAATATAATTTTCCTTTGAAAATAGTAAACCTGCAAATGAACATGTAAAGTCATTTCTTTTATGTTGCAAAAGTTTGATATGAATTTATATGTTCCATAGCAGTCTCATAGTTTGCAATAAGTTGCATTTATTTTTGATTTTTGAATTAGAAACCAAAAAGTACACCTCAAAAATATATATTTGATCCATTTAAATATAATAATAATGATATAATAATTATAATCTGATATATGCAAATAAAAAGATGGAGTTCGCAATAAAGTTTACGCAACATTTCATCTATTTTTATTGTTTTTTACTTTTGTTAATTTTAATATTTAAAAATTTTATCAGAATTTATAGCTCGTAAATGATATTATTTACACATTTCTTGCAGGATAGAGCAATGAGCTTTACCGGGAAAAATAAATACATTTAACAATGGTAAAATAAGTCTGCTATGCAGAAAGTATTTGAGCAGAGCAATTGAAGACAGACATCTTAAAAAAAGAGGTGGGATGAGGTACCAAAGACAATAAAAGATACCAGTGAATCTGCTCTACTAATTGGCATCAAATCTTGCCTAAAATAAGCTATTGTGAATGGAATTATCCTTGATGCATTAATCAATTTATCATACAGGTTATGCAAGTAAATTGCTGTATATTAAAGGGAATTTGGCGTAAGAAAAATCCGTTATCACTTAGTTAATTAAAATTGGTTGTAAGCCATACATACCTTTTTTTAATGAAACATAAAAATATGAAACAGCTTCCTTATTGTTTTTGTGTTGTCTTTTTTTCCAAGTTTAACTAAAAAATTAGATACTGCCAATGAAGAAATAAAGATGAGTTTTGTTAATTGATAGAACGTCATTGACTCTTAAATATCTACAAGAATCAATTTCTCTTTAAGCAGTTAGAGTATACGGTAATCCCTTTATGCCATGTAACCAACGCTCTTACGCAATATTTATCGACACTTGAAACTTCCATAAGGCCCTACCTATCGACAATGGAAACTTCAACAAAGCGCTATATGATTTATTACACGGTGTAATACGCCCTCTGATGAGAGACAGTATACAGTGTTATCTGTGCATGGAGCGTGGCTATTATGCCGAGTTCTTATTAGTAGCATTATTTACCAAAGCATTGACAATACTAAGAACATAACGTCAAAGGACCAGGAATTTTGTCCCTACCGGTATTATTAACTTGTTGGTACATGTATATCCTGCGATCGCGATTTATAGCAACTGTAAGTTTATTTTCGGAATTTGAACGATTTGCATTAAATATATACAGCATCCCTCAAGAACAATATATAATCTGACCTAGTTACATGTATGCTACTGGGCACTGGACGGATGGGTTCAATGCTGACTAAGGGGATTGAAGGTTATAAGTACCGACTGCAAAACATGGGCGAATCCCTCGATCTAATTTTCTTAAAAGAGTAAATTCCCCCGAAGTATTAAGGCATAGTTTTTATTAAGTTAAGTAATATAAAAAAGCTTATATAGAAATACTGAATACATGTTTATTATCTGTAGGTTGTAAACTTATGTAACACTTTTATGGACACAAAAGGATTACTTCCATATTATAAGGTTTGTTTTCTTCTCTGTTTTTCTCTCTAATTATATGCCTAGCTCCCAGGGGTACAATCTGTTATCAGCTGTCTTTGTGAATTTAATACAAACGACCATAAAACATCACATACTTTTATTTTCTGAGAAAAATAATGGGAGACTGAATATAGTAAAATTAATTTTAAAAAAAAAAATGGAAAACAAAAATAAAATAATCAACATCATGATCCTCTCCCAAAAATCAACCGATACAAAATTTAGGCAGAAGAAAGATAAATCTATAAGTACTTTTGAGAATTCCTATGAAAGGTATATAAGTTGTACACATACTTTTGAATTTGAATTTGTCCAATTTGTTAATTATTTATTTATTTCGAACCTGTGAGGAGAAATAAAAATGAAAATATGGATGTTTACAGGCATATTGATAGTGATTTGCATATACGTGTTATTAATTAAAAAAGATATTAAAATAAATTGCAAAGCCGAAATGTTAAAGAAAGTGACAATGATAACTGGATAATTCTAGTAAAGGATAACTTACTAGTAATTGCATACACTGACGTTAAGTGTAAATTCTAAATCAAAAATTATACACTGTACTAAGTATAGAGGGATTAGACTTTCCTGTTCACACGTTTTATTTTATCTTACACTATAGTATTGCATGCAGTATCTGTTCCCATATACATATTGTGCTAGACTCTTTTTTTATGATTGCCATATGCCATTTACTTATTCGAACATTTAATTGTTTGATAAATTGCAAATCATAGGCTTTTTGAACCCCCACTTTTACTAAAGAAAAAGCAGCTAAAAGAATACGTCTTTTCCTTTAAATTCAAAATGCCAATAGAGGAATTGACGCGGTTATATTGTTATAAGTTATATGCTTAATCACAAAAGTGCCCAGTCTTGTATTCCACCATATTTCAAGTTAAAGATTACTCCTTTATTTCCTACAAAATTTCAATGTACATCGACCATTGCTTTCCAACTTTTTAATTACAAAAAAACTTTACATGACTTGGATATCGAGTCTCTGAAACATAAACTTTTATGATGACCATTCTTCTTCATTCTATAACTATAGTCCAGCTAGACACGTAATTACAGGTGACGTAAATATAGTTAATAATAAAGACCTTAGATCACTTATCTTCAAAGGTCATAAATAAAGGGAACCCCTTTCATTCAACCGGCGTCGGAATTTCATAAATATATATTATGGATTCTGTTAAATTTTATGCCAGGCGATGAGCCAGATATGAAAAAGAAGACGTTGACACTTTGTCAGAATGGGTTAAATGTATCAGATCTATGATAAAATTGCGTATTAAAAGATTGAAGGGCTATATGAAAACCATCAATTTCGTATATAAAACCGATAAATTGGTTTGATCATCGACATCCAAGAAATACATCTTATGCTTCGTCTTCTTCTTATTGCTTACATGTATGAGACAATGAATAAAATTTGTAATGTTTTTGTATCCATTTAGTAAGAACTTCCATAAAGCATTGTTCGTAGACAATAAAATAGACCTGCTCATACTTAAATGAATAACATGTATTGGCTGAATATTCAGTATACATATAATTATATTCATGTTTTAGTATCAATATGTAGGAGCGGACTGTGTCCCTTTTTTAACTTGACCTGTCCTTGAAGAGGTATCCTCCTTTGATTTTAATCAATAAAAATCAAGTCTAAAAATATATTTTGTACAAAATTAATTATCAATCATTTAACTTTTCTTAATAATTATCTACATCTTTCTACCATAGCATTTTTTGATATTCCTAGTACATGTACATGTTTTATTTTTATTTTCAAAAATTTCTTTGTCCCCATATACTGTTAGAGAAAATAGTTGAATATTGTAAGAAAAGTTTATTATTAAATCACTAAAATATCCTTTACTTTAGATTTTAAACATATCAGATATGTTAAAAGGATGTGTCAATAGTTTATCCACATTGAATAAAAACAGAGGATTCGGGTTATTATGGTCACCATGCTAATTCTGGAAAAGGATATCTTTATCCACCCATACAATTGCCGCAATTTTGTCTTTTCTAACAGATGGACTGTTTTTGTTTTTAAAAAAATCACTAGCAAGGTACGAAATATGAGCTGGAAAAATCTTTTAGTCCTGTTACAGAACGCAAATTAAACAGTGAATTCCCTTATCACTTCTTTCATAGAAGTTATTCAATTACTTCGCGACTTTTTGATCACCTGTCGTACTGCAATGCACTCGTGTATGTCAATGTGTGTGGTTTTGAAACTATAGGCAAGTCTTTTGTGCGAAACGAAAGTAACAGAAATTTGCCTCAGGATCAAAGTAGAAAACTGCTATGCTTTATACGAGAGGATACACCGCTTTTAGGTGCTTGTTTGAGTTATTTCAGTCACATTATAGAAAGGATGCAGATTGTATTTTAAAAAATCACGATGTTTTCACAAGTAACAATTAGAAACTATTATACAGTCAATATTCTACTTTTTGTATTCTTGCATTTCTCAAAGACAGTCAGGGTAAAAATAAAACTTAACCTAAAGTACATGTTAAATAACATTATAATTGTTTATTCTAAAGATTCAAAGTTTATTTCACTTTTTATCTACAGGCCGTTGCTTTAGCTTAAAATATCTTAAATTTAAATAATAATGAAATTCTATCAATGTAAAAGTCTGATTTCCTGTAATATGCAAAAAAAAAAAAATTAATCACTTGCATACAGTCGCAAACTCAACAACATTGTTTGACATATATTTGTCGGAATTAATAGTTTGAATATTTTCAATAAGGAAATATTTTTTTTATATCGTGAGAAGATTCCGTGTCAACTGGAATTTAAGAATAGGAGATATGAGAAGTTTCTTTTTGTATTGTTGGACATTCATGTTTCCAAGACTTGTCTGCAATGAAGTAGGATCACGAAAAAATTAACTACAGTGCCATGAAGTGTAAGAATATATTTTTTTTTATTTTATATCACACAATTAAGACAAAAAAGTAAAACGGAAAAATGGCGCTTTCACGTTTTTATCTTTTAAGGTAACTTTGAAGAACACGTAAAATGTTATTAAAACTGAATTATTTTCGTTGGATAGTCTTTGATGCTCGTTTTTTCTGCTTTATTTAGTGTTTTGCTAAAGCTGTTTTTCTAATACATTCTAGCTCAAAGTGTTAAATGAGTCTGAAGTGATATTGAATAAAATGTACCTTTTTCATTCAATTCAAAGAAAGAACAGGTCAAGCAAATGTTGCGCTGATTATTTTTGGAACAGCAATATTAATAAGTGTGAAAGTAAGTATACTAATTATCAAAGTAACGATTTCATCATCTTTGCTAGCCAAGGCTTTCTGATATGCTACTCACCTCATAAGCTCTTGGCGTACGGTGTTAAAAAAAATGTTTGGACACCGATAGACAAAGCAGCATTTTTTTTTTTTTTTTTTTTTTTGTAAATGACGATATCTGCGTTCGAAAGATATTGTGACTCTTTACTCTCAAAAATGAAAGTAAGCAACAATTACATGCTATTGTATGAATAGATATAGTGTCATCCAAATTTTTAAGATATGAGCAAATAATGAATTGGAATCTTGATTCAAGATGTAAATTTGCACAGTACATAACAAATGAAATAAATACCTTCTTGCACATTTATTCTTTTAAAAAATCAATGGAACATATTGTTTTTACTCTATTTCTTCTTAAGGTCTTACGTCTTCAGCGGAAGATCTTTCTGTTATTCTTAGGTTTCTTTTCCACAGTTATTATTATTTTTTCTTACATATTTTGTGCACAAGAGTTCTCGAAAACTGCTTTCTCGATTTTCATGAAACTTTCAGAAATAATAGACCATCAAAAAACTAGAACTATTTTGTTTTGTTTTAATGACGTCAATTCTAGTTCCAAGATTTTTGCATTTTAGTGAATTTTATGGGGTCAGTTTTTCCGCGAGTAGTCTCAAAAACGGCTTAGGATAGACACCTGAGTTTTTAAGCAATGATAGAAAAAAATATGTAGATGTTACATGCGTATTTCATTTTCATCGAAAATGCTGCACGTCGACGCTCGCTATGGTCCAAGAAAGGACATGTCGAGAATTATAAAA